TTAGTTGGCAGCTCTTTGGCCCCCTCAAGGGATTATCTGGCAATGTCTGGAGCATTTTTGGTTGTCATAAGCCCAACAGATGAGTATATGCTACTGGATACGACTAAACATTCTATAATACACAGGACAGGCTCCCACAACAAAGAACTGCCCACCTCAAAATGTCAAAAGCGTTGAGGTTAACAAACTCTGATCTAGAACAAAAAACAAATTAAAAGAAAGAAAAGATGGGTGGGCTCAGTGGCTCACGCCTGTAATTCTAGAACTCTGGAAGGCCAAGGCAAGGAGGAATATTTGAACCCAGAAGTTTAAGACCAGCTTGAGCAAAATCGAGACCCTGTCTCTACTAAAAATAGAAAAATTAACTGGGTATTATAGAGGGTACCTATATTCTTAGCTACCTAGGAGGCTGAAGTAGGAGGATCGCTTACACCCAGGAGTTTGAGGCTACAGTGAGCTAAGATAATGCCACTGCACTCTAGCCAGGACAACAGAGACTATTCTCTCCCTAAAAAACCAAAAAGACACCTCAAAATGTACTGCTCAAAATACAAAACCACTGCTGGCATCTTGGTATTTCTTTGCAGTTCTTTCTTCATGCATAGATTTTTAAATATTTTATCTTACATATAAAATAAGTTTTCTAGTGCCTATAGCTCAGCGGTTAGGTTGCCAGCCACATGCAACAGGGCTGGTTGGTTTGAACCCAGCCAGGGCCTGCTAATCAAAAAAAAAAAAAAAAAAAAACCAAGAAAAAAACAGCCAGGTGTTATGGCAGGCAGCTATAGTCCCAGCTAGTAGGGAGGCTGAGGCAAAAGAATCACTTGAGCCCAAGAGTTTAGGTTGCTGTGAGCTGTGACACCATACCACTCTACCAAGGGTGACATAGTGAGACTATCCCCAAAAAAATAACAATAATAAATTTTCCATGTAACAGTATGTTCTAGATATTTGTACAAGTTACTGCATATTTTAAAGCATTTAACAGCTACATAAATTCTAATAAACGTATACATCAAAATTTGCTTAGCCATTTCAGTTTTCAATTTTAAGTTGTTTCTAATTTTCTGCCAATATAAATGTAATAAAGAACATCTTTATGCATAAGACTTTCTCTATACATGGAATTATTTTTTATGACTAATTTCCAGAAGTTAAACTAAGTAAATTTAGAATGTGAACAATGTAAGGCTTTAAATGCGTATTGACAAATTATGCCCCAAAGTGCTACACCAAGTGATATAATCAAAAGCAATGTGTACAAGTGCCACTTTCAACTATGAACATGATTATTTTTATGTCATTCTCAATTCTCTTTCTTACCATGAGTTATTTCATCCATGTCAGGACTAGTGACAGAATCTTTACCCCCAAAATCAGAGCTGCATTCAGATCTCAGGTCTTCGATCTTATTAGGAATATCCTCAGAGGTTGCACTTATACCTTAAAGAAAATAGTAAAAATTAAACAGCAAGAAGAACAAAATAACCACACAGAAAGTATATGAAATTTGGAAAACATTAACATGTTGTGTCCCAGTTCTACACATGTGAGTTATTTAGTATTATATACTTTATCATACTATTGCTTAAACAGACTTACTTTGCTTTATATAATATAGTCAGAATTATATGTGGTATCTAAAAATAAAGTAGCAGAGACTACTAAAAATAGAAAGAACTATAGAGGGACTGTTTGCCTATTATTTCAACAAGCTCCATAAAGCCATACATGAAGTTTTCAAAGATTTAAAGTATGACAGAAATAGTTTTATTTTCTGAAAATCACTCAGCTCTTAAATAAAATCTATCTCTGTATCAACTCCATAAATGAAGGTGGATGGGAGGAATACTTTCAAATTCCTATTCCTTAAAACAAGACAGACATACCCGACACAACACTGAGGCCTGGCGTGCTGGGGCGGGAACTGACCTCCCTGACATCTGTGTCATCAGATGTGCTACCCAGGCCAGAACAGCTCTCCAATTCTTGCAGACGTTCCTCCTGCTTTAGGTCTGGGGCCTCTGAATGGAAGACAAAAGCTATTACATTAGTGATTCTGTTAGCCTACCAGAATTTTAGTTTTTGTGACCCAGGACCATAAATTAAAACAGAGTGAACAGATTTCTAAGTCTGGGCCAGTTAGTAAAGGTAGTTAGATCAAGAAGTCAAGATTGTAATTTTCATCTCAGTAGAGGCCAGTTCACTGTGCACAGAAGAATATCGTTTCTACATCACTAATCTCACAGAGTATGCTGTTGATTTAACATGTAAACTTGACACAATAGTACAAAATAGCTTTTCTCTAGGCTACCATGTCTGAATGCTTGAAGAAGATAAAATACATATCAGGATGACTTAATTTGTCTTGAGCCAAATAAATCAGAATGTAATACAGATACACAGTTATTTATATTTGTATTCTGGTAGTTGACATTTAAAGGCAAAGATGTGTCTTCATAATAAGGAAAAAAAGAGACATACAAAGTACTTTATATACATTTATAATAATACATATAATAATCCTACACAAAAGAATCCTCAGGACTGTAAAGTCTCAAATTCAATGTATTTCACAACATAACTAAACATCTTTTAAAGGGTGAAGTTCTTCCTTCTGATAAATCTATATAAACTGACCAAGTAGTCAACCACAGGGTCTGAGATGTGTTGCTACTCTTATCCTGTGATGAGTTAGTAGAAGATACTGAAACCAAGGACCCACATGCAACTCTGGTAAGTTACAAATAAATAACTGAACAGAGTTGGAAAGCACCTGTCATCTTAACCTATGCTACCCAAAACTGAATTTCTTCTTAATGGACTGAATATGTCCTAAATTATTTTTCCATTTGGAATTCTTAGCACTGTGATTACCTCAAACTTGTGAAATGTATATTTGACAAAACATACATAATATAGAAATTAGGATACCTTACACTTAAAACTTCTGTGTAAATAAAAAAGCAAACAATGACAGCATACCAACCTGAGTCACTTGGCAACACCTCTACACTCCAAGCCTCACTTGTTGTTTCTGATATTGTAGAACCCGTGCAGGGCTCTAGAAGCACTGATCCTGAACCTGGGAGGCACAGCAAACTGCCTAACATGTTCTCTGCTGCTGCACCTGTATAACCAGTGGGGAGCAAAAGGTTAACAAAGATCCTGATGGAAAGTACAGTGACAGTGGAGGAAAGCCAAACACTAAGCTAACAAAATCTCCCCATCCAACAGAAAACAGCAAAGAGAAGAATAATTTTAATAAACATGACTAAAAACACAAAGTTCACAATGGCACAAAATCCTTTTTATCAGTTTCCTCCTGTCCATATTTGACTCTCCATGAAGAAAACACACACAATTAGGTCAAATCAGTCCAACTACCTTTCATTCATTAGCAATGTTACAGATGTCCTTAATATCTTTCTATAATTTAGTCCTACAGGGATTAAAAACACTCACAGAGATTTAAACACAGAAAGTTAAATTGGCCAGATTTGTTTTCTCCCAGCATATTGGCCACATCGTCAGAGCAATTAAACATATTTGTAGGGAAACATGTATCTCCTTCATAGCACTCATTCAAGTGCAAGTACCGTTTACTGCTTAAATACAACTTACTGCCAACAACAACACTACTTTGGCATCTGGAATGAAGTAATGTGAAACCATTTAAGAAATCTATTTGCATACTTAAAAATACAAAGTATTAAATATTATTATAGGCCTATGTTAATAATACTCAAGTTCAGAATGCTCTACTACTTTTGTTTAAACCTAATAAAAAATTCTACTTCAGTCTATAAAAAAATATTGGAAAAAATTACCAGTAAAAATTGTCTTTTATCATGATATATCATGAAATAATTACAAATAAAATAATATTGAGAACTATCTAAACATAATGAGGTGGGGGAGACGAAAGTAGTGGGTAGGAGACTTGGTGAAACAAAACTGGCCGTATGTGTCTAACCGTTGAAGCTGAGAGATATATACTGGGTTCACGATACCATTCTCAGTTGCGTCTGTCTGAAATTTTCCACGATTAAAAAGAAAATAAAAGGCCAGGTACAGTGGCTCATGCCTGTAATCCTAGCACTTGGGAGGCCGAGATGGGTGGATTCCCTGAGGTCACGGGTTAGAGACCAGCGTGAGTCAGAGGGAGATCTCATCTCTAAAAAACAGCCGGGCGTTGTGGCAGGCACCTGTAATCCCAGCTGCTTGGGCAGCTGAGGCGAGAGAATTGCTTGAGCCCAAGAGTTTGAGGTTGCTGTGAGTTATGACGTCACAGCAGTCTACCAAGGGCAGCAAAGTGTAACTATGCCTCAAATAAATAAATAAATATGGTTGTTATAAGACTATATGTAGGACTCTTTTAGAATTCATAAAACAGTATCCAAAAAAATAAGTTTGACATTTTAAAAAAAGGGAAAAAAACTGTTTTCCCTTTGAAACCTAATCCTTCCAGAAGTGAACTTCATTTTTGTAAAAGAACATCAGTATCATGTTATTCTAAAAGATTTTATGGCTATTAACTGTAAAAATATTCATCTTAGGCTCAGCGTCTGTGGCTCAAG